AAGGGTATGTCACTTTTTGGGAAGATTTTTTTTTCTACTTTAAAACTAAAATAATTTAATGTAGAAGAAAATTCAGTATCCACAATGTGGTGTCCTTGAAGTCACTAATGGTCATTTGATACCCTTCCTCCCAAAAGCACAGAAAATGGTACAAATTGGGGCTGCCCAACTGGCACCCCTGGGCTTCTACCCAGCCACTGCTCCCCACTTTGCTTGGCTGCAGAAGCAGCTAGGGACCCTGGGCTCCCTCTCCCTCTGGCTTCCCCTTCTCTACCCCAGGGAGTGAGGTGGGACAGCGCAGCCTGCAGCTGTGGGCCTAAGAGACATGTTGCAGTGGGGCAGCTTATGGCCAGGGATCTTAGGGTGAGGTGGGATACCCAAGGGTGGGGCATACCAGGGCATTAGGCATACTTAGAAGGTAGACAGCCATGGTACAAGTTCATTTGGGTAACCTACTAAATCTTGCATGAGGAATAAGCTTATTATTAAAAGAAGGAGCCCTGGAGGGCAAGGGAACAACAAAAGTTCACAGGAACACATTTAAAAGTGTATTGGAATATATTTTGTTTCCTTGTAGTTGCTTCTGTGGGAATAAAGAGCAGGTTATACCCAAAGACATCCTCTCTCCACATTCCAGTTGTAGAGTTTGTCTAAGTGGATGCAGGCTTTGGGGGAAGAAGGTACAACAGCTCTAGAAAAGACTGACACCACAGGTCAAATGGTGTTTAATCATCTCGTTATGAGTCATCTTGACTCGTAAGTGGTCTTATAGTGAGAACCTTTGCATAGAAAAAGATAATAAAGGCATTTTGGTGTTTGAGTAACTGCAAAGTGTATTGACAGTATTTTTGCATTACATTAGAAATACCAGTTTGCCGCCTTTTCACACGTGACCTGAAAGAAGACTGACAATTTTTAAAGGGCCTAATATATTCCTGTTGCAGCTTGAAACTTGAGTTGCAGTATTTCCAGCTTCTAAGTGGGGGAAGGGATTGTATAATCTTAAACTTAGGGCAGAGATAGCTCAGCTGTCATGCTACTGCAGTGATGTCTGCTATTCTGCGGAGCTCTCTGGAAGAGATGATAGCTTAGGAACCTGAGGTTAGTGCTTTTTGGAGGGGAGGATGGTACAGTGGTACTCTGGAATATGGCACATTTAAGGGATGGGTGGAATTGTTTCTTTGCCTCTTAAAAAGAAAGTTTTGCAGAGGCTTAATAAGAAAACAACAAGCATATCTACCTTGTCCTAGAATGGTCTTAGGGAGCACCATACTGACATGAACTGTCTTCTCCACATGTACTATCTCCTGAACTGAAAGTAGTTTAGCCAGTTTAATGCAGCTCTCCTGAAAGGCAGGTACTCACACAGTACTGTACTAAGCCAACTACTCTATTAACCATAGTCTGGGAGGTCATGAAGGCAGGGTGCATCTCAGGACAGCCCTCCCTAGTTGCACGCTGCGGTGGTGTAAACCAGCCATACTTTTGGTGGCTGAAACACTCATTTCCTGAAGAGCAAGTCCTTGGGAAGGGAAACAAGCAAGTCATACCACTATACTACTATTCCATGTATTTCATCTATTAGTAAAAACTGATCATGCAGGAAAAGCCGTGCTCTTTAAAGGAGCCGGAATGAAATTACAAGGCTCTACATTCTAGATAGAGGCTGCACACTCAATAGTGGACTGCTGGGCTACCCTTCCCCCTTGTTCTACTTTGCAAGACAAAGAAAAATATTTGGGAGAGGTCTAGGATGATGCATAGGGGAAGGGTCTCTCAGCTGTTACTTACTCTTCACCGGGCAAAGAACAAACTGTTCTTCTTTCTTGTTCTTGGTGATCTTGATTACAATCTTACTAATTACCAGGGATCCTGGTTTTCTCGGTTTAAAAATTGCAAATTCTCTGATTAAAAAAATCCCAAATCTGCATTTTTCCCTGATTTAAAATGAAATGAGATATAATATGGTATCAGTTGAATACAATGTTTTATAGATATATTTACAAGTTTAAAGCAATTTGGAAGCCTACCAGTGCCTCAGTCACCATAAGGCAGACAAGGTTCCTTGGGTGAATTTGATATCTTTTATTAGACCAACCCAAATGGTTGGAGAATAGTTATTAAGCAAGCTTTCGGGTTCAAATTCACCCAAGGAACCTTGTCTGCCTATGTCCTTAGACCAACACGGCTACAACCCAAACCCCTCAGTCACCATAATAAATTCTAAATATCTATACATTTTGGCGTTTGGTTTTGGGTATTTTATCATGGAAAATCAGAGCTCTCCCTACCCCCTTCACTCACCAGGACATGGGTCGAGCTGTGGTTGTCCCTCCCTGGTGCTTTGTAGCATTGAGCAGGTCTGATATGCCAGTGCCCCTGCTGGTACCCCTCACTCCCACTCCACGGCCCTGCCAGCACCCCTCACTCCTGACCCATAGTCCCCTGTCCCTTCTGATGCCCCTCACTCCAAACCTGCAGCCACCAAGTCCTGCTTGTGCCCCTCACTTCTGACCCGCTGCCCGTGCCCCCAGCATGTGAGACAGGGAAGGGGGGGGTAGGGAAGGCAGGGAGGCATCGGAAGCATGTGCCCCCCAAGATTTCTCTACCTACAGTGGGGCAGGGGGTGCAGCCAGGCCAAACCAGCTCTGAGCAGGAGCCACTTCTGTGTCTTGGCAAGCAGGAACCAGTGCTGGAGGGAGTGCTGTGCCACTATAGTGAGGCGCAGCAGTTGCAGTGGTGACAGTGGTGTAGAGTTGTGCACCCCACTGCTGCTGGAAGGGCAAGGGGCGCCTCACCTGGTGTTGATGTCCATGGAGGCAGCTCCTGCCCAGAACTGGTCTGGCCCAGGTGCAGTCCTACGCCCCATTGTGGGAGCAGAAATCTCGGGGGGCATGTGCTTCCCCCCAATCTGTGTGGCCTGTGCTCCTCCCCACCACATGGCCTGTGCACCTGCCTGCCCCCATTCACCGCGTGGCCTATGTCCCTTCCCCCCCTGTTTCCCTGCCGCCCAGCCCCATGGACTTACCTGCAGGGAGCTGCTCTCCACTGGTGCCTGGCTGCCATGTGCATGTGTGCATGCACGCACATACATGTGGTACTCCTGTCTGATCGCCGTCCTCCTCCCCCCAGTCTTAAGTAGCCCTTTGCAGGCTGGAACTCCTCCAGCCTGCAAGGTGAAATCCATGGTTTCCCGTGTTTTTCTCCATAACACTGGAAAATCCGTGTTTTTCTCCATTACACGAGAAAATCCACATCTTCCTCCATTAAAGGGAAAATGTGCAATTGTCTGCAGCAAACCGAAAACCTGGATCCCTGATAATTACACTGAACTAGGTAGGCCACTGTTACAGGGATGTGTTAGAGGTGGAGAGTACTTTTCTTAGCTGCTATATGTCTAGGAAAGCTATTGGCACCCTTTTTGAAATATACAACTTGGTCCATAGCTGATTGACTTGGTTTTAAGTTGGATTTAATTGATCTAAATAAATTAGCAAGTACGCAGCACTATATCTTATTACAATGTAGCTGGTGATTTGTTGTTGTGTGTTTTTTTACAGTAATGTCACCTTTGCAGTAAATTAAATCATAGTAATATTTGTGTGATTGTGTTTGTGCTGCAGACCTTTTGGCAGCTCTCCAGCTTCCCTCTGACTGCACCCTGTTCCAACTGGCTGTTCTGTTTACCTACATGTCTTGTGCTTCTCTGAGGTCACAAAGACCAAATGGCACATTCCTATTTAAATGCTGGCACTGTCTATACCATTTGTATGCTCCAAGAGTCAGGCATTTTGTTCTAGCCTTGTGCCATGCTTCCAGCTGGAGCTGTCCTGAGACTCTGGATTTTCTGTTCTGGGGCAACAAAAACATACAGGAAGCCGTAGAATCCAGATAGAAACCTAATTATATCTGAGGGAATTGGGGATAGC